CAATGGAGGAAGTGGCTTGCCAGGGTGCCCCCGGGCAGTCAGGTATGTGCTATCTCTGTACTTCAGGATGCGGTGCACAGTTCCTGCTTCCCTGTCTGTTCTGCCAGCCTCTCAGTGAACTTTACAAGAGCTGCCCAGCAAGGCTTCTAGAGTCAGAATACTTTGCCAATGAGTAAAAGAAAGTCTGATTGAAATATATTATTATTTTTTAATTTTTTTAGATTGATTGATTGATTGATTGATTGATTGATTTATACATACAAGCACTGGGTACAGTCAGAAGCACGGGAGGGTGACAGAATTCACCAGAGCCAGAGCGGGGAGCAGAGCAGGCAGAAGGACCGAAGTACACTGCTGAGGGGAGCAGCGGGCGGCAGGAGAGGTCTGCGCGCCATGTGGGACCCTCCTCCGGTGGCCGGGGAGCAGCTGGGGATCGAACCGGTACTGCAGAGGCTGCGGGCAGCTTCGCAACCCAGCGCTCAACCGCTGCACCACCGGGGAGGCCATGATTGAAATATCTTAAACAGTATATTAAAATAAAAATTTTACGAAGCCCCAGCTAGGGTGTTCCTGGGTTCGTTACCTCAGTGGTTCCAGCAAGTTCTTTCCATGGTTCTGCTCACCATCCTGAGCATGTCCCATGAGAAAGATCAATTCTTCTGTGAAAGAATTTCAATCTGAAGTGGAATGAGAGGATATAGAATGGAAAAAGCTCGTGCAGTGCCCTCAGAGAAACAAAAACTTAATCACTGGTGGTGCGGAGAGGCTGATTTCCCATAAGTGCCTGAGTTTCTGAAAATTGAAATTTACCTTGAGAAGTCTTCTTGGTTTCAGACACAAAAATCAGGAAATTATCTAGGTAGGTCAGATAAGTCTGACAAATAAGCTGAGTGTTGTCTCTATAACTAAACTGGTTCGTCTGCTTAGGGAATTTACAGGACTGGGCTCTGTTTTTCTTTTTTTTTTTTTTTAATTTTTTTATTTTAGCAGATTCTGAGCTCTCTCCCCCAGGTGTGTGGCTGATGTCTAGCACTAGATGGTAGGGTAGGGTAGAGAGAGAGAGGGCATCTCTGAGTAAGAGTTCCCCATAAAAGAGACAAAGAAATGAGGATCTTTCTTTCTGAGGATGACACCAACAATGGTGGTGGTGCAGACATAAAGAAATCTGGATCCTTAATGTTGTCAAGCCACTAGAGCAACCCCCTCTGAAGTTTGTCCTCCTTCTAAATGGCTTAATATAAGAGAATTTCTTTTACTTTCCAACTCTTTTACTTTCCAACAAAAGCACCCTAAATCACATAACTCTCAAATGCCAGTGAAAGCTCAGACCTGATATAAATAATCTTTTGTCCTGCTTTTACATCTGTCCTACTGATGACCGGATGGAATAAAGAGTAAGTCCCTGGTCCGCCAAAAACCAGATGTCTTCCTACCATCTACCACTAGAACCCCAGTTTTCCCTCCCATCCCCAGGATTGCAGAAGACTGTTATTCCCTGTAGCCAGTTGTCTTGACTAGAAATAGTCTAAAACAGTTCAAATTTCCCAAGGAGAGCATGTGTACTGGGTTTGGGTGGAGTGAAGAGGAAATCTTGGGATTAAAGGAAATCTAGCACCTGTAAGAAGGACAGAGCAATCACACTCAGGATAAACTGATCCAGGTCATTCCTATTATCCAGGTTGATTTAGAAGACAAAGAAGAACTTCTTGTCCTGCAAGGAGATACAAGAGATCTGGCAAGATCTGGGGCTGGCAAGAGATTCAAACTCTAGAGAAGGGTGATTCATAGGGAGGTAGGGGCAGAGATCTGCTCACACCATTTCAGGAACAAATGTAGAGAGCCACAATACATGAGGTAGATACTGATGATTACGAATTCTAAAACTCTTTGGACTGATTGGCAAGACCTGGTAGGTCCCTGGGTTTGGAGGTGGATGCTGGATCCTCTGGGCGGGGAGGCCCAGGCACCTGTCATAATCTCAGTCACTGGACTGTTGCAATAACAGACTCCACACCAATCCAGGATTCCCGTTTGCCCCGTTGGCTCACTTTTCTTGTTCACCATGGCAACTGCTTTGAATCTTTTCCATTCTCATCAAATCTCCTCCCATTCTGCCTTCCCTTTCTTTCTCATCAGACAAATCTGCCTCCTATTTCACCCAGGAGACAGATGTCACCTGAATGGGAGTGCCCGCACCTCGCTCACTTACCTGCCACTGGGCTCACCTTTCCTCTATCCACGGATTTAGTCAGTAGCACAGTCCAACAGAACTCCCTGCACTGATGGAAAGTCCCACACCTTCCCTGGCTGCTCCAAGTAGCCACTAGCCGCCTGGGGTCCTGGGCACTGGAAACATGGCAAGGATGACTAAAGAGCTGAATTTTAAATTTCATTTCATTTTTATTGATTTAACTTAAAATCACCACCTCTGGCTAGTGCCACCCTCTCAGACAGCACCCGTTAGTGTAAACCAAAGACATATTTGAAGATCAGAACACTGAGATTTCTCCTAACTCTGTGACACCCTTAAGGAGTAAGGTCTTAGCAAATTTATCATAAGGATTCTGAGTGAGGTGATGAGAAGGAAGGAAGAGAGGGCTAGAGAGGACACTCATGAGAAACTGTGTGGACAAACTGAGAAGGAAAAATCACCACAGTGGACCACTGCTCTGCTCTCTCTGGCTGCAGGTGCGCCTACAGTGGACATTTCACATAAATGGAATCTTATGATATACGCTCATTGTGTGACTGGCCTCTTTCACCTGACATCACGTTTTCAGGGTTCATCAAGTTGTAGCAGGTGTCAGTGCTTCATTCTCTTTATGACAGACTAATATTCCATTTTGTGGATGGACCACATTTTGTTTATCCATTCATCTGTTGGTGGACATATGGACTATCTGCTTACCTGTAATGGCTCAGGAACGAATGAATGACTAACACGCACAGCACTGTTCAAGATTGAAAAGATGGTTAACATGTGACACCTCCAGGATCAACTCCAACTTCCCACCTCCACACCCAGAGACCCACCAGGTCTTGCCAAGTGGTTCAAAGAGCTTTGGAATTTGTAATCACTCACAACTACTACAGGATTGAAAGCCAGACAGCTAATCCCTCAGTGTTTGTGTTCTAACCATCAGGCTTACTGCCCTAACAGGAGTCTTGTGGATCTCCTTCCGGAGGAAGATAACTGCCGAGTGTGTCGGCAAGCGACAGCGCACTCTAATAAGGCAACTAGTGATGGAACTGTTTAAAGGAGTCAGCAGAGGGGGCTCCCCCGTGGCGCAGCGGTTGAGTGCTGGGTTGCGAAGCTGCCCGCAGCCTCTGCAGCACCGGTTTGATCCCCGTCCGCTGGGTGAGGGTCCCACAGAGTGCGCAGACCTCTCCTGCCACCCACTGCTCCCCTCAGCAGTGTACTTCGTCAGTCTGCCTGCTCTGCTCTCCGCTCTGACTCTGGTGAATTCTCTCACCCTCCCGCGCTTCTGACTGTACCCAGTGCTTGTATAAATAAAATAAATACATCTTTAAAAATAAATAAATAAATAAAACTTGAAAAAAAAAAAAGGGGGTCAGCAGAACTAAGAAAAAGCTGGCAAAGTGGGGGAGCTTTACCACTCCTACACCTTAAGGGGTAAGGAGGGAGTGGTACCCAGAAGCCCTGCACAACTGGGAGGAGATGAGTCAGAAAAATTCACATCCAACCTCACTGCCCTTGTGCTGTCCAGACTCCTAAACTGGGAACAGCAGGGTGAGGAAGGTCCATGCAGCTCCCGCGGGTGAGGAAGCACAGGTTAGCTCAGACTGGAAAAGAAAATCTCTGTATAAGTGCCACACACTAACCAATTGTACCACTCGAGGTCCAGCAAAGAAAAACTCTGCCTGGCCATTCTGCAGACTGGAAGAGAAGTGCAGAAGTCAACAGCAAAGAGAAAGAATCTTCTCAAGAGGAAGCAATCTTTCTCTCACTGGTAAGTGGAAGCCCCACCCTCCATCTTTGTGGCGTGCTGATTTTCTTAGTCACTAAAACACAGACTCTCACAAACACTGCTATCTGTAATTGCAGCAGCAAGAATGAAGTATCCCACTTTTGCCTGGAGGGGGCAAATCACCTTGAGACAGCCTCAATTTGCCCCTCAGGAGCGGAGCTTCAGATTAAGGGTTTCTGGACACCTCATTCGACATCAACCTTAGCTTTATTACATGCAAGGAAAAAGGACCCGGGGTCCACTTTGCAATTCAGATCTGAAGTCAACTGTTTCATACACACTTGCTTTGCTTTATGCCTATCAAAACCTGATTTCATTTAAATTTCCTCTAAACGCCACCGTCCCAGAATGTGTATAGCGCTCACCTTTTGTTAGGTGGTGTCTTTGGCCCCTCCAGCACACGCTCTACCTCTCTGGATGGGTCCGTAAACTAAGCTGAATTTTGTTGGCAGGCAAGTTCATCCCTGGCGGTCAGCTGATTAGGCTAGGTAGCCCATGGCCCACCTCTTGGGGGTAAGAGCTGGGCAGAGAGTGGATCTAGAGGATTCTGTGAGAAACATCCAGCACCCTGCCCCACACCACTCCCCAGCAAATCAGATTCCTCCCACCACTACAGACCAGAGCGGGGAAACTTTGTTCAGATACATCTGGGGCTGACGAAAGGGTTGTAGAAATGAAATCAGTCAGTCTCTGAATAGGGCTGGAGGCCAGGGAAAGATCTAGGCCCTTTACTAAAGCACAATGGAAGCACTGGGTCTCCTGACATTTGAAAGGCTGCTCCTTACCCCAACTGAAATGAGTCAATAAAGAGGAAAAGGGAGAGAAAAGGGGGAAAGGGAGAATTCTAAAAATGCCCTTCCTTTGAACACCATCTTTGTGCAGGCATCTGGGGGAGGCTGGTTAGGGCTGGGTCATCTGCCAGTCAGGCCTGTAGGCTTCTCTTGTTTATTACCAACCACAGTTGGGACAGCTGCCAGGGCCCGCCCCCACCCTGCTGTCATTGGAGGAGCTCTAATGTAAGGGCACTGCTAAGAATCAGGTTTCTTTTTCCTATTACTGGTGGGCCTGCGGCAGCTGGTCTGGGAGTTTGGGGGTCTGATCCAGCCTCCTGCAGAGTGAGCCTCTGACCATGCCAGACTGCTGCAGCTGTGGCGATGTTTTCCAGTATGAGACAGTTAAAGTTATCCGAATCCAGAGCGCAAACTATGGCACCATCAAGTGGTTCCTTCACATGCTTGTCTTCTCCTATGTGAGGTAAGCAGGGTGTTGGGAATGACCCCAAATCTCTGGAGTGGTTGACAGCACAGAACACACCAAGGTGCAGCTTCTGGTGCACATTCTGAAGTCCACGTGGTCTGACAATCATACTGTAAACTGTGGTGGGTTGGGCAGGTCTCGGGAAAAGTAGTGGGGGGAGGAGGAAGCAGCAGGCAGGGAACAGTGGCAGTCTGCTAAGAAAGAAGCCGCGGGAGGCCAGCGTGACACTTTGGGTTCTGCCTGGAAGCCAGGGAGGGCATACCTGGGGACAGTGGGAAAGCTCAGGAGATTTCTAGCGAGGAGGCAGGGATTTGGACCACACCTGGAGACAGGGCAGGCCTCTGAGTCATCACCCCTTAGGGAAAGGAATAAGACCAGACTTGTAAATGTAACTACATCCTCTTCAGCGTCCTCTCCAACTGTTCTCTCTCTCTCTCTCTCTCTCTCTCTCTCTCTCTCTCTCTCTCTCCTTTTTTAATAGCTTACTGAGGTATAATTTACATACTATACAACTCACCCCTTGAAAGTCTATAAACTCATGGTATTTAGTATATTCACAGAGTTGGGTAATCATCCCCACAATCCATTTTGGAATATTTTCATCACTTCAAAAAGAAACCCCACATCCGTTGGCCATCACTCCCAGCCCCCTGCTCCCCTGTAGCTCCAGGAACCCTCTGACCTACTCTCTGTCTCTATGGATTTGCCTATTCTGGATATTTCATATGAATGGGAAATCACACAACATGTGGCCCATTGTGACTGACTTACTCCACTCAGCTTGTTTTCAAGGTTGCTCTCTGATAGGGCATGTTTCTCTACTGTGTTCCTTTTCACGGGGTAGGAGTCGGTGGAGGTCTGTTCACTATGCTTTGTGGACAATTTAAAGGTCTAGCAGAGGTGATTTTGAGGAGACACAATTTTGACCTTAAGTGCTGATGCTAGGAGGTAACATAACTTCCATGTAAAATGTTTCTCCTCTGTTTATATTTTGAAATATAAAATTAAAGACAAAATATCATTGATTTCACTTTTCCCTGCCATTTCATAGAACACCTATTTACACCTCACTGAATGGGGTCCCCGAGAACACAGCTTGGGAAATGCTGTTTTAATTGTACTCTGAGGCCTCAGGTATTACAACTGCAACTCAGCCTTCAGTGAATGGGGTGGTCCAGGTATGTAGGGACTGGGGGAGGCAGGTCACATCACACAGGACTGGCATGGACTCAGAGACTGAAGACAGACAGGGCCTCAGTTACTGCACTCAGCACAAGGCAAGGGCTGGAAACTGAGGAAATAAGACAAGTGGCTGGTCAGCAACTCATAGTCCCTCACCACCAAGTTCAAACCTGGACTCGAGGTGGGACTGCAGTTGCCGCAAAGGTCAAGTGGCCCCAGCTTCCAGCTTCCGTAAATGTGTGGACAGGATGCTGAGTAGGTCTGCGCTACAGTTGTTTGGAGAGGAAGTAACAGGAACCTAATGCCAGTTCGCTCCCCTGCCACACTGGATGGGGAGGGGTAACTGCCACATCAGCGGGCAGCGTGAGAGATGGGGCTGTCCTCAGAGAGGACTGACTGTAGAGGTCGGGACTGGGCTCATTCCCTATATCTTGGCTCTACTTGTCTTTCTTCTTGAATAGGTTCTCCGTGTCATAAGATGACACACTCATATCCTCACAGCCTTCTTAATGTCTCCAGAAGAACCAAAGTCTTTTCTGACAGATTTGGCAGCAGAGTCCCAAGACTCTGGTCAGGTCTGAATGTAAGCTCTGTCTCTGGACCCGTGGCTGCCTTGGGGGTGTGGTGTCACCCCACTGGTCAGCCCTGGGTCCCATGCTTGCTCCTCTGGCGGGAAGTAGGGAGAGGTTGGTAGAACTGAATGAGCCTGACCTGAACCACATCCAGTGGCTTTTCTTTAGACAAAAAGCATTCTGTTGCCAGAAGAAATGTGAAAAGGATGGAGGTGGGGAATGGGGGTCAGACAAAAACAAACATCCATTTAAAAAGGCCTTTACAAAGCCAGACATTCCAAGGACTCCTGAAGGCTGCAGCTTCAGCCCTGGCTTCTATCAGCACTGCTCCTGGGCTGTGGCGACTCTGCCCAACGTCATTGCCAAGAATGGGCCCCAGGCATTGTCAACAGAGCCAGCGCCTGGAATTCCAACCCATGATTCTGCCCTGTCCTCTCAATTCAATGAGATGGAAGACCTGGATTAATGATGGTTATTTTCCCAGGAAAAGTGAGATGCAAAAGCCTGAGTGACTTAAAAATAACTGTGTTTTGTTGTTGGCATTATTTACATCATCGCATCGTGTCCACCCGGCCTTGGGTCTTCTTTGTTCTTCACTGTTTCACAGATAAGGAAACAGAAGCTATTGAAAGTCGGAGTTACATTCAAAAAGGCCATCCATTCAGAAAGCAGGTTGTGAAAGACATTCAAACCCTAAGCCACTGCTCCTCACTCATAAGCCACACCACTGGGGTTGTTGCCGGAACCAGCCGCCTCAGCGTGGGAGTGGCAGGGCCAGCGGTGTCCTCTCACCCGCTGCTCCACCACAGCTCAGTGGTGGCAGGTGCGCCTCAGAGCTCATAACTGCCGTTTGTAATGGATCAATCAGGTGTGAGCTGTGAGCTGATTGGTGCTAAACAGTCCAAATCAGACTTGTGGGTGAAAGAGGAGCTAAGCCAGGGCTGGAGGGAGCTGAGGGGCACCCTGAGAGAAGAGGACAGGGAGCCCCTGAAGAAGAAGGAGTGACAATGCTTGCCCCTGAAGAAAAGAAGGCGGTTCCAGCCACCCAAGAAAGAAGAAAAGAAGCATCCAGAAGCCCCCCTCCAAGGAGGGAAGAGGAAGCAAAGGACTAGGTCACGGACTGGACCTCAGTCCTGTCTCTGACATTGCCTGAGAGGCCCTGGGCCTGGCGTCTCAAAGAGCTGTTGGTACAATCCAACAACTCACACAGAGCTGTGAACACTGGGTGTCTCTGGCCCCGCCTCTGCGGGACCAGGAGTGGCCATCACTACTGGCCAGAGCTGTCTAGCACTCCCGGTGACCGGTGGCGAACATCACTGATGGTACCTGGCTGAGAAAGCCGCCACTTGGTGATACAGTGAGCTCTTTGTTTCCCCTGTTCGTAAAATAAACCCCATGGTTGTTATTCCTGGAGTCTAAGGTCTCTTGCAATTGTGTGGGCGGGTGAGAGCCCACAGTGACCGGTCCTTTTCTCGGGGACTGTCCTTTCTTAGAGTCTATAGATCTTGGTTTTGGTTTCTGGCCTTTTGGCCTTTTGGGGCTTTTAGTGACTCTCTGGTCTCAGAGCCTGGGCGGGTGGTGGCTGTTCCTTCCATCCAGCCTCCTGCCCTGTGGCCTCACTTGTGGCCCTCTCCACCCGTTTCAAAGTGGCTACCCTCAGCTTGCCCTTGTCCATTTTTCACTCATTGCCCAAATACATTTGAGCATTTGTTATGCATGAAGCCCTGTTCAATGGTGCCAGTGAAACAAAAGTTCCTGCCCTTGTTGGGTTATATCCCAAAGGAGGAGAGAGACATGACACAAAAATGGAGAGACATAATGAAAGGTCTGGTGGTGATAAGTGCTCTGTATAAAGAATGGGGACAAGCCATGAACTGTCTGGGAGAGGGGTGTTTCTGGTGGAGGGAACAGCAAGTGCAAAGGCCCTGAGGCAGGAACTCAGTGGGGCACCCCAGGAAAAGGAAGGAGGCTGGTGTGGCTGTAGGAGAATGAAGAGGCAGTGAGGAGAGGTAGTAGGTGAGTGGGAGAGGTAACATGGATGGGGGAGGGAGGGCCCTGGAGGCCACTCTCAGTTCCTTGAATTTTATTCCAAGTGAGTTGAGAAGCCACTGGAGCATTTTAAGCACAGAAGAGATACTTGCATCCTATTAAGAAGATTTCCCTGGACAGAAGTCCCCTTAGAAACTTTTCTAATGAATACGGAAGTCTAGAAACAGTTGAGAGAAAAGCAGAACAAATTCCACTTAAATTACTTCTTTCCCCTCACCCAGCAACCTGCACCCAGTCAACAGCAAGTACAGCACCGTGGAGACAGTGCTGTTGGGCAGTCTGGGCTGTTAAAATGTGCTCCTGGCTAGCTGCCTGTTTCACCAGAAGCTGGTCACAATCCTCCACTTGAGTGGAAGTAAGTTGCCCATGGAGGTCGGTAGAGGCACAGCGGCTGAGGAGGGGCAGATCCAACGCAGGCCCTATGACCACTGTCAGTTAAGAGGAAGAAAAATGTGAAGAGAGTCACCACATTCTCATTCCACCCCAGAACCCTGGGTGATGTGATAGAGATGGGGGAGGGAGCCCAAAGAAGACCCACTTCAGGAGGAGAAGAATCCAGTCAGATGACACACAGGACCAAGAGAACAGGAAATGCAAATGTCTGGAAGCAAAACAGAGGAACAACCAGAAGACAGAATGTTCCAGAACTGTAACAGGGTGGTCCCCAGGAAAGGGGGAGGTTCCCTGCCCCACCCAAGGGAGGGTGGAGCTGAGCAGGAAGAGGAGCAGCTGCAGAAGAGACTGAGGAAGGAAGCAGGATGGAGCCAGGAGACACGTGAAGAAACTGCGCTTGTCTTTTGGTCGTGGACTGCGTGACACAGATGTGGGTGAGACCCATGGGGAGGTGACCATAGCAGCTTTTATCTTGATGTTGATTTTGCTCTTTTCCTTCCGGGCTTGTCTGGTTGTTTCTGACCCTTTTCTGTGGGTCCCCACTGGAAGGTGCTTCAGACTTGTGGCAGGCTTTGGGGCCTTGCTCTGGGCCGATCCCATTTGGATGGAGTTTTACCCGCGAGGGGACGGGTAACTTTGGGTGCTTCATTTAGAAACTAGACTCTGCCTTACCTGTATTGTTTCCTAGTTTTATTAAAGTTCCTTCCCCTCAAAGTCTCCTATGTTTTGTGTTGATGCGGCGGATGGCAGAACCCATTTAGAATAGGCAGGTTTGCGGGGTTTGGGCTGCCCCTCTCCCTG